TATGAGAAAAGAAAATGATTATTAACGAGATAACGATTGATTTTGCATTTAATTCCTTTTTAATCAAACTTGACCAGAAAGCAAGAAGCCGAAAGAGATTTTCTACAAACGAGAAGTGCGAGAAAAGACAATGTTATCATAAAACGTACGGAATTTTTTCGTGAAAGTTAATGAAAACACAAACCAATGAGATTTGCATAAAGTATGAAATTCCATAATTTTCTCATTATTCCTTAAAATGTTCAAAATTTAATTAATTTCAGTTTCAATATTGAATCTAAAATTCAAGTAATATACTTTTATATTAATTTTTCTTAGAAATTTCAAGTCCTAGGAGAACCTTCAGTGAGCTTTTTATAATTTAGTAATCCTCCTTGGCTATATATATATATATATATATATATATATATATATATATATATATATATATATATATATAGAAATATATATTTATATATATGAAGAAATATGCTACATTTATGGGATAAAGTGGCTAATATCAGAGATAGAGCGTATATAAATATAAATATAAAAGTGAACATTTAAGTCAAGTCACCTGTCGCCTCTGAGTGTTGACTTCAATATATATATATATATATATATATATATATATATATATATATATATATATATATATATATATGCCAGAGTAACGCAAATAGAAAATATTTGTTAAAACTGAGCATATTAAAGGTGCTCAATACGAAGTTCCGGTTCCGAAAGTACTTAAGTTGTCGAGCTCCGTGTAGTTGATTTGCTAAACAAACAACCTAGAGTGGTCTGGTCAGCTTTCATCGGTTTTAAATATATATATATATATATATATATATATATATATATATATATATATATATAGAGAGAGAGAGAGAGAGAGAGAAATATGTCTGTGTGTGCGTTTATGTGTATTTTCATGGAAGTGAAAACAGGAACAAATACTATATATATATATATATATATATATATATATATATATATATATATATATACTTTCTGAAAAGGAATGTTACATATGTAACGGAATATATATATAAAGGAATGTTATATATATATATATATATATATATATATATATATATATATATATATATATATATATATACTTGCTGAAAAGGAATGTTACATAACTCTTAAGGACCATAAGCCTGACTTTTTAGAAAACCCAGCAACCAGAATAATTAACCCTACCCGACCCGACATAGGAAAGATCAGCAAAAGGATCCTGGAAAGAATTACCTGCCAAATAAAAAAACAACTGCAATTAAAATTATGGATCAATACTAAAGATGTCATCAATTGGTTTAACTATATTGATGATAAACCGAATTGCACCCTAATACAGTTCGATATCGTGGATTACTACCCCTCAATTTCGAAGGATCTATTTACAACTGCCCTGGACTTTGCTGCTGTGTATTCTAACCTGACAAAGGAAGAAACAGATATAATCCTCAGCGCAAAGAAATCGGTTCTCATTCATAATGGGGACCAATGGATAAAAAACAATAACGACCTGTTTGACATCACTATGGGATCATTAGATTCTGCAGAGTCTTCTGACCTTGTTGGTCTTCTGATACTGTACAACTTAACGGCACACCACGAAATTGATATTAAGGACATCGGACTGTATAGAGATGACGGGCTCATGGTGGTGAGGAGTTCTACTAGTTTTAAGATTGAAAAAATCAGAAAAATTATATTTAATGAATTTAAAAAACTAAACTTTAAATTGTCTCTTCTAATTTAAAAAGGGTAAACTTCCTCGACGTAACTCTAGACTTACCTGGCAACACATGCCAACCTTATAGCAAACCTAATGCTAACCCTTTATATATACACCCGAAGTCAAACCACCCTCCATCCATAATTAAACATATACCCTCATCAATAGAAAATAGAATTAGCATTAACTCCGCTAACAAGGAAATATTCCAACAACACAATGGCTTCTATAACACTGCCCTAAAAAATAGTGGTTATAAAAATTAACTATAGAGACAATTGCACTGGCCATAGGAAAAAAAACAGGAAAAGAAAAATCATTTGGTACACCCCTCCGTTCAACCAAATGGTTAATATTAAACTAGGACAAAAATTCTTAAACCTAATTGATAAACACTTCCCCACCAATAGTAAGCTTAGTAATATATTCAATAAGAACACCCTAAAATTGAGTTACTGCTGCTCTGAAAATCTTGAACGTATAATAAAAAAACACAATAATAAGATCTTGAACAAACCCCCATACCTAAACAGTATTAATAAAGACCCTGCACTTAAATCAGACAATAAAAGGGAAAAATGATGTAACTGTAGAAACCTAGAAGACTGCCCATTAGAAAATAAATGCTGCATTAAATCAGTGGTATACCAATGTACTATATCATCCATTGAGAGCCCTAGCACTAATAAGATATACATTGGGTCCACGAAGAATAATTTTAAAGATAGATGGAGGCAGCATAAGTGTTCTTTCAATAATATAAACAAAAGAAATCAGACTTCCCTATCTAAATATTTTTGGCATTTGAAGGAAACAAATAGGACACCTAAAGTTAAATGGAAAATTATTAACAAGGCTAGAACATATAAAACTTGGGATGACCCATGCCCTTTGTGCCTCCATGAGAAATTGCACATAATTAAGCTTCTAAATAATAATAATCTATTAAACAATAGACACGAGTTAACGGTTTTTTGTAGGCATCATCAGATTTTTGGTTTGAACTATTAGCTAAAAACTAGCATACAATATAATAACTTGTTTAATCCATAGCCTACTCATCAGATTCATGGTTTGAATAATTAACTAAAAACATGCATACAATATAACACCCTTCATAATCCATAGCCGAAATAAATAGTTTAAATACCCTAAAAAAAGATAACCCTTTATGAAGTCGTCAAAAAACAAACCTTACGACAGTTTTTTTTTTTATATGCACAAATCCCTTTCATAAAAAAATAAAATAAAAAATAAATAAATCTCCATAGACATGCAAACTAGACGAGGGTTAATACATCTTCCGTTTCAAATTTAGACACCCCTACCTTTCCCTGACTTGACATCTACGAAAGTAACTCTATACTGATACTTATTATTAACACCCAACACCCGCCTACCCAATTTAAACAATTCGCCCTAGCTGTTACCATGGAAATTTTGATTTCAATTTTTAAAACACGTAAATTCCAGAAACACGTTATTCCAAAAAAAATTTCGCTTGAAGATGGAACAGGGCTTATTTTAACTCAATTTAATTTAAATAATTTAAATAATTATATTGAAGTTTTCGGCTCTTGTTTTGAAACATGGGACTTCTTATGTCGCGATTTGGAATCATATTTTTAAATAAATAATTATATATATACTAGCAAGTAAGTGAATGTAATTTATATATATATATATATATATATATATATATATATATATATATATGTATGTATGTATGTATGTATAAAAATTGTGTATTTCAGTAGCAGTCCTTCCTTCATGCAAGTTTCATTAAATATGACAACCAAGGTGTTTTGATTCTGTTTTTTATATAATTTTTCATGTGACTTTATATATTTTTTAGTAATTTTCTGGGTTAAACTGTTAACTGGAAATAGATTGTTGCATGTATGTATTTATATAATGTTTTATTTTCAAAACACGGTCAAGATCTTACTTGACTTGACTTGACTTATATCGGTTTTCACCCTGGTCGGGTTGAACCGGCTTCCTCCTGAGCAAGTACAGCATCACGGACCATCACTACCCATGCTCGCCGATCCTGAGCCAGGTCACACGAAATGGGAAGCCAATCGCGATTACATCGTCGAAGACCAACTACTTGTGGACCCAATAATAATGCTAGGTCATCCTTGATTGTGCTAGCCCACGTCCGCAGCTGCCCACCGACACGTTTTCGCTAGCCAGGAAGAGAAGGAGGGAGAAGTACATCGCAGATGAGCTCTCCCTCCGGGCGTCGAGCTGCGTGCTCGAACCATCGGAGACGACGCTATAGCAGGACGGGTGGAAGAGGACTGTGGGCACACGATCGATTCGGCGGCATCGTAGAATGCAGTGAAGTCAATCATTGTCGAACGCTTCAAGCCTTCGTAGGTCAACCGCTCTAAGTGGCCACGTTTCGCAACCATAGAGAAGGATAGTCCGAACAATAGCCTGATAGATGCGCCCCTTCGTAGCCATGGAAATCTCCCGTCGACCCCATAGTGACTGCTTGAGACGCACGAATGCGGACCTTGCAGATCCTATACGGCAACCTCAGCAGCAGCCTGCCAGGATGGTATAATGGTTGAACCGAGATAGACGAAAGACTGCACGTCCTCAAGATTGACCCCGTCCAGCATCAGTGGCTGCCATTTGACTGGATCAACCAGGGACGGCATAACTTTGGTCTTCAAGGCATTGATGGTCATACCCACATTACGTGCTGCAGCTTGCACACGTTTGAGCGCAGCTTGCAAATCGTCACAGTTCGAACCGACCAAGACAATGTTGTCCGCGTCAGCCAGATCAGACACCTGACATTCCGACCAACCGCAACTCCAGCGTAGTCCCGAAGGGGCCTTGCCAAGGATGTAGTCGATTGTATAGTTGAATAGGGTAGGAGATAGTGCACACCCTTGCCGCACACCAGTCTTCACCTCAAACGTCTCCGACTCCTCACCATAAGCACGAACACGGGCTCGCGTCGATCGGTAGTAGCCCTTGATGAGACGAAGGAGTTTAGCGGACATGCCATCGGCCTCCATGATACGCCAGAGTGGGCCTCTATCAACGGAATCGAAAGCAGCCGCAAAGTCGACGAAGCAGAGAACTGTTGGTTGCTGGTATGTCAAGCGTTGTTCGTGGGTGCGCCGCAGGCTGAAGATCTGATCAACACAGCCTCTGTTCGCAGATCACGGATGCCTTGAAATCTTCGCAGGAGAAGCATCGCAAATACTTTGGCCACCACGTCGATAAGGCTGATTCCTCTGTAGTTCGAGCAGAGTCACCTCTCACCCTTTTTGAAAAATGGCAGTAGGATGGCCTCGTTCCAATCGGCAGGGTAGGTCTCAGAGAGCCAGACCGCATTGAAGACACGATACACCCACGAGGCGAATACATCTGGCACGGCATTATATACTTCTGCAGGTATACCATCCTCACCAGGAGCCTTGTTGTTACGCAGATGGCGCAGAATATCTCGCACTTCATCTACCGTTGGGGGTGCAGTGTTGCAGTCGTATTCATCGGTCGGTTCAACGGACACTTCTGTCGCCGGATTCGGATGATTGAGTAGCTCGTTAAAATGCTCTTTCCACAGATTTAGCTGCTCGCCCAGACCTGCTGTAATAGCACCATCACGGGAGCGAAGCGTCTCACTCACCCCCGTAGTTCTGCGACTCGCCCGCCTCACCATCTGGTACAGTTTGCGAGAGTCACCACAGGCTGCTGCACGCATAGTCTCTTCGGCGAAGGCGCGCCAATGTGCATTTCGTTCAGCGCGGATGGAGTGAGTTGCGCGGCGCCGTAGATCGCGAAAGTTCGCAGTTTCTGTCAGTCGCGCTACCCTCACCTCCTCCACCAGCCGAAGGCTCTCCACGGTGATCCAGTCTCGATATAGGCGGCGGGTGACACCAAGGTGGGCGTGTGCCGCTTCGACGGTGACAGATTTGAGAGCCTTCCATTCAATTTCTGGTTAAGGCTCTGAGCTTGGTTGTGGGGGGGGGGAACCGATTGCGAAGTTCCAACCAGAAATGTTCTCCCGCGCGTAGCTTCAGATTGGCGACGTTGATTCGCTTCAGGATCTTGGTGGATCTCCTTGCCCGCAGTCGCAGACGGAGGCTTGCGCGGACAAGTGTATAATCCGATCCATGCGCACTGCCCATAGCTGCACCTCGATAGGCTCGAGAGTCAAGTATAGAGCTTGCCCATCTCTCCCGTACCAGAATGTAGTCAATTTGGTCATTGGAGCGCCAGGTGACGACTGTGAGAGACTGCGTTCCTTCGTCACGAAGAGTGCGGACATTCCAGCCAGCAATCTTCAT